GTAGTCACAACAAAGATAAATAGCAACAATTGGCATGAATGTATATGGACAAAGATAACTCCCTCTGGATGTCAAAGGCAAAAGATTAACAGTAGTAGGGATCCTGCTCTGCAGAAAGAGAGGGGGTCTGTTGATTTGGTTTGCACTGCTGTATCTATAACTGTATGTCTTGTGGTCAGCTTGGATAATAACTGTCTTAAAAGTAAATAGATAGAAAGGCGCTTGTTCTGTAATAAACCACATATGTGATCTAAATTCTAACAAAAACGAATCAAACACAAATATAAAGAAGTGCATATGGCATATGTGTGTTTCTAACAGCAAACCGTGAAAAACACACACACGCCATTAAACATAAACCATCTCTTAAGGTATGTGAACATGTGATACACTCAATGTCCAATAAAGATGATAGTCTCTTTCTCACAATTTTAAGGTGCCAAAAAATTAATTTTTAAATCTTCGCTGTGTGCTCATAAAATGTAAGTGAATTACTAATTCACCAGTCATTTATGACCCAGTTACGGTGGTCAAAGAGCATTTGTCTGAACAGATATATCCAAGAATCAGCCCCTGGGTGTCTTATGGTATCTTCCTTTTCATCCATAGACCACAGGCATTGTATCATCGGGGGGATACTAATAGTTATCCAGTCTGCAAACCACACCATGTACAAATGCTCCCAGTGCCGGCTCTCTTTACTTTTAGTAGAATGCGTGCCACTCAAATAAACCAAAAGTTAAGCCATTCTAAGGCCCCATCTTTCTGAAAGATGGAAACTGACTGCTGGAAAATGTAGGTTAAAAAATGTCTGTTTAGCCGCGTTTGCATACCGCGTTTATGTGCGTTTCCGTTTAGAAGTATTTTTTAAAGATAAGCACAGGAGAACCTCCCAAATGCCCAGAATGCACTGAAAAAGTGGTAAATTATTAACTATTTCAGACTGTTTCAGAGAAATACAGAGAGTAGAAGCAGAGACAGCAGTATGTGTTGAGATAATTAGGTGTGAATTGCTCATTAACATTTCTTTTTATTTCCAAGGGTGGGAAAGGTGTCTGGTGGAGTGAATCATTAAGGCCACCTGGCAGGGGGTCATCATGAGGAATTTGAGGTGTGACTGGGCATTAACATATCTTTTGTTTCCAAAGGTGGGAGAGGTCTGAGGTGTGAATTGGTAATTACAATGTGTGACAAGCTTGGTAGGAACATCCTGTGTTCACTTCTAACACCAAAGTTATAAATGTATTTATCACAGTGGCGCCATAACAATAATCTTGCACATTTTCACTGGATAATAACTGTACTGCATGTGTATTCCAGCAATGGTGCCGGTATAACTAGGCCACAACTGGGGCAACTGTATTAAATATTCACAACTATGTGCAAGCAGATAACTCAGGTTACGAACTATCAATGTTCACTCTATTAGTGGATGCCTGGGTCTCTCTCACCCGATCAATGTAGTGCACCAGATTGCCATGGTCCATCTTTCCCGATGGATAGAGACAGTCCACAGGTCCTCTGTTTCAGACTTGGCGTCCCACTCTGTCTCCTGCTGTCAGAGTGGCCTGCTTGGTAGTGTGGCAAGCCGGGTGATCAGGGAGTTCTCTCTGCTCTCTCTTTCTCTCCAATCCAGGCTCTGCGACCTAGCTGTCAGAACACCTCCTTCTCCTTCAATCTCCCTTCGCACTCTTCTGGCCAATCTCCCGCGCTTTGATATTTAAATGCCCCTGCCCACACGCTACCTCTCCTGGGAAATGTAGTCCTAGGCACTCTGCATATCAGCTAAGTCCTGCTGTTCAGAAATACAAGTTCCAGAGGGCTGTTCTGTCAATGTGAGCAACCCTGAATAGCAAGCCACCACCATCTAATGTCCACTTTAGTGTATTGCAAGTAATAACATTTCCATGGGTTACATATATATATATATATATATATATATATATACACTATATTGCCAAAAGTATTTGGCCAGCCCTCCAAATCATTGGATTCAAGTGTTCCAATCACCTCCATGGTCACAGGTGTATAAAATCAAGCACCTAGGCATGCAGACTGCTTCTACAAACATTTGTGAAAGAATGGGTCGCTCTCAGGAGCTCAGTGAATTCAAGCGTGGTCCCATGATAGGTTGTCCATCTGTGCAATAAGTACATCCGTGACATTTCCTTGCTACTAAATATTCCACGGTCAACTGTTAGTGGTATTATAACAAAGTAGAAACAACTGGGAACAACAGCAACTCAGCCACGAAATGGTAGGCCACGTAAAATGACAAAGCAGGGTCAGCGCATGCCAAAGTGCACAGTGCGCAGAAGTCGCCAACTGTCTGCAGAGTCAATAGCTAAAGACCTCCAAACTTCATGTGGCCTTCAGATTAGCACAACAACAGTGTGTAGAGAGCTTCATGGAATGGGTTTCCATGGCTGAGCAGCTGCATCCAAGCCTTACATCACCAAGTCCAATGCAAAGTATCGGATGCAGTGGTGTAAAGCATGCCGCCACTGGACTCTAGAGCAGTGGAGACGTGTTCTCTGGAGTGATGAATCACGCTTCTCTGTTGGAAATCCAATGGACGTGTCTGGGTTTGGCAGTTGCCAGGAGAACGGTACTTGCCTGACTGCATTTTGCCAAGGGTAAAGTTTGATGGAGGGGGATCATGGTGTGGGGTTGTCTTTCAGGGGCTGGGCTTTGCCCCTCAGTTCCAGTGAAGGGAACCTTTAAGGCATCAACATACCAAGACATTTTGGACAATTTCATGCTCTCAACTTTGTGGGAACAGGATGGTACCTTCCTATTCAAACATGACTACGCACCAGTGCACAAAGCAAGGTCCATAAAGACATGGATGAGCGAGTTTGGGGTGGAGGCACTTGACCTGACCTCAACCCGATAGAACACCTTTGGGATGAATTAGAGTGGAGACTGCGAGCCAGGCCTTCTCGTCTGACATCAGTGCCCTGACCTCACAAAATACGCTTCTGGAAGAATGGTCAAACCTTCCCTTAGACACCCTCCTAAAACCTTGTGGACGGCCTTCCCAGAAGAGGTGAAGCTGTTATAGCTGCAAAGGGCGGGCCAACTCAATATTGAACCCTACGGACTGAGACTGGAATGCCATTAAAGTCCATGTGCGTGTAAAGGTAGGCAGCCCAATACTTTTGTCAATTTAGTGAATATATATATATATACATACACACACACACCTGCTCTGACTGCACTAGCATAGTAAATCCAACCATGAGTGAAGGGAATTTGTGTATGACCCCTGAATTTGTTGGCTGTCAACTTTTGATAGAAAAAAAGAAATTAGACTATACCAATCTCTATGATTTAGCACTTTCACTCCATACAAACTGATTCTCCTGGCAAAGGGCAGCACAGTGGCTAAGTGGTTAGCACTTCCACCTAGCAGCCTAGGGTTGTTGATTTTAATTCCAACCATGGACAGTGCCTGCGTGGGTTTCTTCCCGGGTACTCCAGTTTCCTCCTACACTCCAAAGACATACTGGTAGGTTAATTGGCTTCTCTCTAGTTAGCCCTAGTATGTATATGTAGGACTGTGAGTTAGGGACCTTAAATTGTATGCTCCATGAGGGCAGGGACTGATGTGAATGTACAATATATATGTAAAGCGCTGAATAAATTGACGGCGCTATATAAGTACCTGTAATAAATAAATAAACCCCATTGGAAATCTACCATTCAGTAGAGAGCTGTCACAGTAAAACAATCATTTGATGTAGTCAGAAGTTTCACTAAGTGTGGAATCCAGGGCTTCAACACCTCAATACCTTCAAGCAACTGGACTGATTTACAAAAAGGAGCAAAGAGAACTATCTAATAAATAATACAAGCAGACCAGTCAGATTTCAGTTTACTGAAACAGGTGTAGTTTGTTATCATATTGGTGAGAGATAACAATTCATTACAATCATTGCCTTTTTTTTTTTTTTTCTTTATTTAAAGTTGAACTGCACTGCATCTGAGCATCACAAACTAAAAATGCTATTTAATTCATTGTTAATATTCAAAGCAAACTCCCCCATCCATTCATTTATTTATTTCAGGTACTTATCTAGTGCCGCCAATTTACACAGCACTTTACATATATATTGTAAATTCACATCAGTCCCTAACCCTGAAGGGATGTACAATCTAAGGTCCCTAACTTACATTCATACATACACATACTAGGGACAATTTAGACAGGATCCAACCAGAGTACCCAAAGGAAACCCACGCAGGCACAGGGAGAACATGCAAACTCCAGGCAGGTAGCACCGTGGTTGGATTTGAACTAACGAGCCCTAGTACTGGCAGTGGAATTGTTAACCATTTAGCCACTGTGCTGCCCGTGTCTCAATGCTTTATTTTTCTGAAAAATCATTTTGAAAAACAAAATATTTCTGGCATTTACATGCAGTAAACGTAGGTGATTCATGTAGCACTTATTTCCTGGAATTCATCTGTCCTTAGCTCAGGCAGAGCTAAGAACCCTCCCTCCCCTCCTGAAGACTCCTGAGATGTATGACATCATTTGCCTAGGTAGGAAACCAGGAAGTTACTGAAGAAATGCAGAAAAAAGCCAGTTCACACCACAAAAAAAAACACTCCAGATGTATTTTGGATGTTTTTGCTTACAGTTCACACCACACTCTGTTCCCGTGCAGATTTGATGCAGTTTGCTATTTTCCAGTACAGTTCTGTGCAGAAAAATGTAGCATGTTCTACTTCTTTTTCTGCACCAGAAACTGAGTGGAACTGACTGCGCTGGTGTAAACAAGGGCCATTGAAATACATGGAAAACAATGTGCATGCATTTTTGATGCAGACAACAAACGTACTGGACTGAATCTGGTGTGAACTAGCCCTATACGTTCCTATCCTTTCACTAATGCTGGCAGCGTACTGATTAAAAATAGTCCACAATGACTGAGAGGGTGAAGTTCTACTTTATTTTTTAAGAAATTTACAAAAAGGATTACCAGTTCATAAAATTACACTTTTGTCTTTTTGGAAGAATCTATTTTCTTTAGGTACAGATGTACTCCATTTAAGGACCGCAGGATTAGCTGAGCAAGTATTAAGGGTTCCTGTTCTTTATCCGGGTATAATTCAAACCTCTGTAATGTCAGTGCGAGGGCCACCTTCATCTCATTCATCGCAAAATTCTGTCCAATACAGTTTCTGGAAAGAGACATAAAGGGGTGTTCATTTATTTTTTAATACAGCAGTCCTATAGAAGTATCTTTGTACTATTGTCTTCTGAAGTTAAGCTGTGTGTTCAAAACAGGCACAATGATAAGTATCTGCTTCAAATAGGCCCTATAACATGGCTGCTATACCCCATCCTTCCAGTGGTGTATTTAGGTTTTGTGCTGCCCTAGGCAACACAAAAATTATCTGCCCCCACAGACACCAACCAACACAACCCCCCCTTTCCCCCTCCTGTGGAGAAAGGCTGACATTGACCAGCAACACCCCTTCACCCCACCCAGGAGAGCCTTTCACTACCCCCCCAGCGATAAAGAGACACTTATCTTCACAGCTCCGGACTTCCCGGGGAACAAGAGTCAGGCTCTACATCCACCATCAAGCTGCCCGCAGCCTCACTGGGATCCCACCTGATTCCCATGGTGCGCGTATCCCTTCTTTCATCCCGTCTTCTGGGGGGAGGTGCTGCCCCCCTGAAATATGCTGCCCTAGGTAAGTGCCTTGTTTGCCTTGTGGTAAATACACCCCTGCATACTTCCATGCAAATATCAGCTTCTGAAAGTCATGATTTGTAGAAGCTTAGTCACACCTCCTCACTAGGATTGCCACCTCATCCCTTTAAACCCGAACACATATTAATTACCCAGGTTCTGTGGCTGATTAAGGTGGTAATTAAACTCACCTAGTGCCTTATGTGTATTAAATTAGCCTCAGAACCTGTGTCATTAATATGTGTTCAGTTTTAAAGGGATGAGGTGGCAACCCTACTCCACACCCTACATGAGCCCAGAGCTGCTGTTAGAAACCACGGGGCCCCGTACAGCCAACCTGACAGGCCCCCCAAACAACAGGGCCCCATACAGCCAACCTGACAGGCCCCTCTAAACAACAGGGCCCCATGCAGCCAACCTGACAAGCCCCCCCCCCCCCCCCATCCCTACAAAAAAAAACACAGTTTACTAGGCTTTAATGAACACAGTGACTGATTGGTACCAATCACTCATTGTGTTCATTCAGGAAAGGAAAGGGCTGGTAAATGTGACATATTTACCAGACCCTTCCCCCACTTTCCATGCTGAAGGATCCTATTGTATGCAGCCGATGGGAATGAGAGGAGGGAAGCCTTCAACATTACAGGGGAGGGGAACATTATGGTGTACAGGGAGGGTCATGGGTGCACCAGGGTGGGGCAATTACTGTAACTGTTTCCCTGTATGGCCCTCTCTGCAGCAGCTGAAAGCTGGCTTTTTCCCTCTCCCTCCCCTTTGCTTTCAGCTGCAGCAGAAAGCTGGCTTCTTCCTTCTCCCTCCCGTTGGCTTTCAGCTGCTGCAGACAGAGCCATGCAGGGGATCCGTTCCAGTAATTGTCACCCCCGCCATGCCGATCACTGTCCCTGCCCACATCTAATTCACCCAGCTGCCTGATCCTCTCTGCTGGCCTGGGCCCCATACAGGAGGACTGGTGGTACCCCCTCATCCACGGACCTACATGCACCAGTGCTTGGGCCTGGTGACTTGACACTCAGGTACTCAGCAATGTCACGTAGAGGACGCATCTACTTCCCAAATCCCAGACGTCTTCATAATTTTTCTCTGAAGGGCAGGGTTGCACTGTCAGAGAGGATAGCAAGGTCGGTACATTTAGGCACCTGTTTTTCGACACACAGCTAACCTTTATCAGGATCACTATAGTGAGCAAGGAAGTACAAAAAGCAGATGCACATGAACCCAATCAGAATTTCTCTTTTATAGTTTTAGGCTGATGGCACACTGAAAGACGATTACCAGCTGGCTACTCTGGGTTAAAATGCAACACCATTCAAAGCTGATATTTCCGGGGGGTTTTCTGGATGCCAGAAAGTTTAATCACATTCTAGATTTTAATACTACACAACTCATAAGACATGAGCAGGGGATATCTCATAAATGGCGTCTATAAGAAATATAAGAAGTCAATAGGTGATTCTATCCAGCAATATCCATCAGTAACTGAATTATCACTTTATGGCAGAGTTGACCTATACACAAGTCTGTAGCTGTAATATCCTATCCTGAATTGGGAAAATCTATGAAGCAACCAAGTTCAACCAGGGTTTCAGGGAATCCTAAAGTTCCTCTAGAGGTTTCAAGGGGTTCCTTGAGCTCTGTCTGATTGACCTTTCATTTGATGATGCCCACATATTTCTTAGGCAAATGGCATGACACTGATGTTTTCTAAGCTGTCTGTAAGGGTGGCATTCTGACTACCACTGTAAAGAGGGCATTCTGCACTAAGTGCGAGATGTGAGGGCAACCTCCCTGATTTTTTACATTTGTTTAGTGCTTCCACCTGTGGTTAGGTGCAGCATGGTGCGGTGGCAGAAAACACTCTCCGGTTGCAAATAACAAGACTTGTATTAAAGAGACAACCCAAATATAAAACAACCCAGTGGGAAGGCATCACTCCGGGAAACACTCACAGTTCTGTGCAACTTGCAGTGTAGAGCAGATTTTGATGCACCGACAGCGTCTGTCTCCAAAGGGCAGAATTCGGCCTGGCCAGTCGGAGCCCAATGGGTAAGATTCCAGTGTAGGATGGTGTGTCCCTAGCCTGTCCCTATTCATCAGGAACCTCAATTTCTCTGACTGGTGAGTGCTCTGTCCCTACACTATCTACTCACAAAAATGAGCACCAAAGCCTGGGGGCAGGCACTTAAAAAGGCTCTGTTGACCCAAGATGGCTACCAAAGTCACCTGTATGCAGTATAGCCAACTGGAACACTGATTCAGGGGGCCAAGGAAACCAGAGAGAAACCAATTGTTTCTCGACTTCCTCTCCAACTGCAGCATCTTCTATGGCCCATACAGCTCCTTTGTCTATCAGTTCTTGGGTGGGTCTGAGAATTTAGGAGCAACAGCTTTTTACTGGAATAATGCAGCCACAAAACAGGAGGTTTTTTCTGCAGCTCATTGACCCTATCAAGGATCAATTTGGACACAGATGGGCTCAAGACGCATAGCCTGCACAGAGGGTCACAAACTCTAGGCCCAGGTTGCAGGAAAGGGGCCACTCTCCAAGCACATGGTCTGCTCACAGGGAAAATTCCCCTCAGTCAAAGATTCTTCTTATTCTCAAAGGTGAGGACTGAACAAAGCTCAATCGTTTTATCAAACTCACCGGTGGCTGGCCGGATGACAAGACAGAGAGAAATCCCCATCTGCATACAATGCTTATTCCAGTCTCATGGACCAGCAGCAATTGAGTTAGGTGTTCTAATGTGGTAGACTGACTATCCCCCCCCCCCCCCCCCCCCCCCCCAGAGCAGCCAGCTAGATTGGGCAACAGTTGTGTGCATGGGCACCTTTAGATTGATTAAAAGTTTGATCAAAGCATGTATTTAAGATAGAATTTGCCGCAGCAGTGATACCTAGATCCAGCTGAGAAGGGGAGGAAAGCGTGAGAATGTCTTTTGGAGGCATTTTCTGGTGAAAACCTCAATGGATCAAATATCTGAAAGCAAGAAAGACAATTATTGTTCAAGTCTCCAACAGAAAAGCAGTTCCACAACTTTCTTATATTTATAAAACAAACAATTGTCTGCACAGCTGTCACAGCTAAATACAACAAAGCAGAGAATGTAAAAATGAGTCATTTTCACCCACAAAATATGAACGAAAGGGGTTGATTTACTAAAGGCAAATAGACTGTGCACTCTGCAAGAGCAGTTGCTCCAAAGCTTAGTAAATGGGCAGAAGCTCTGCTGACTTTCATCATCCAATCATGTGCAAGCATGTGCAAGCGTGATTGGGTATTCTTTGCAAAGTGAAGCTTTACTTCATTCACTAAGCTCTGGAGCAACTGCACTTGGAGAGTGCAGCTGCGCTTTGAAAAGTGCACAGTCTATTTGCCTTTAGTAAATCAACCCCAAAGTCTTTTATTTTTGGCCACATGGCGACTATCCAAGGCACCATATAAATCATAATTACCTCTGGATCGTCCCACAAGCTAGAGCATCTGTTGATGGCGTATAAACTTAGCAGAACATTAACACCTGCGGAGACAGTAGGGACACAAATCAGTTTTCAGATATTACAAATTTTAATATTGTGGAGAAAAAAGAAACAGTTGCTGACCTTTAGGCAGGCTCCGCCCATCAGAGAATGTGATTGGTGAGGTAAGTTCACGAGCCACTCCTGGCACAGGTGGATACAGGCGCATGCTCTCCTTAATACACATGGTGGTGTACGGCATCTTACCCAGATCTTCCCTGATCACACACACAAAGCATGCATTTTTATGGCAGATAAATACACTTTACGTATATATATCAAACCTCTTTAACTGTTACTAAACCCACAACAGTAATATCAGTCTGTATATGCAGTAAAGCATGCTTGTTATACTCACTGTGGAACTTAAGGGTTTAATTCTCTGTATTGTGTAAAAAGGATGTTTGATCCTGTCTTCTATGATCCTCCCCTTCTTCCAGTGTCCCCCTTTTATCTCCTGATATGACATATTGTGTGGACTCACTCTGCACATGCTCAGTTTGGTGTGTATTGCTAGAGAGGTTTTTTTTTTTTCTTGGGAGAGTGCATGTGATCAGCACAGGGCCAATCAGCACTGTCCAGACAGAAGTCAGGGGTTGTGCATCCTACTAGAGCAAAATGAAACCCCCTCCTACAAGCTTTAACATGTGCTTTGCTGGACACTGATAGAAGTCACAAAACTGCTCTAACTGCTAATGAGAAAAGGTATTTAGCAGTTTATATTTACTAAAATAATTGCATTTCCATGCCCTGTGTACTGTGGGAGACCAGATATAGTGAATGCAGGGTCCTGGGTTTAGTAACACTTTAATCTCTGTTCCGTATCTAGAACAGAATGTGAAGGGCAATTTCCTGGACAGGACACAGAGAGCAAAAAACAAGAAAAAAATGCTTGTTTACATACACTTTTAAATGCATTGTCCACTCTTTGAAAGAAAACAATACACCCACAAACAATAACGAATGAAAAAATGTACATTATTTGTTTTTTGCAGTAGAGCCAGCAATTCATTGCAACCACAATCAAAGCATCTCGAGTGCAATATACATGCTTCTGCAGACTATTCCGCCAGCTTCAGGTCCATACGGAGGTACAGTCCTTCAGGTATGGGTCTGGAGGAATTATGTGATGTCACCGCGCTCGTACTCTATGGAGATCTACAAGTCCCTCTGGCGTGGTAGCAGATGGGACTTAGGCACTGTTCACACATATGCATTTTGCTTTTTGTCCATTTTGCAGTGCTTTTCACAGTTCGGTTTGCGTTTTTCTACATGCTTTTTTTACGTGGTTTTACCGCTTTGTTCAGCTCTTTTTTTTTTTTTTTCAAGTAGAATTTTTTTGCTGGCAAAAACGTGGCAAAACGCACTACCATGCATTTCAGCAGATTTTCCATTGAACTCTATTGTAGCAAAAATGCTGCTTTTTGCTTTTTAAAAAGTCCCTGACCCTTCCAAAAATGCAGCAGCTCAAAAAAAAGTATAGATGTGAACATACTATACTTTTAAATCACTTTTACGAGTGCTAATCCAGAAAAGTTCAGGAGCAGGGTTGCTGGAGCTGCCAAAAGGTCTGTCAATGTACATTTCTTATATGCATGTTAAAACCATACTTTTAGGCTGGCATCATAGCTATGTGTTGCAGTAATGCACAATTGGAATTGCAGTGTGTTGCAGTTACATTCATTTTTAATTGCAACTAATGTACCTTGGAAATACACCTGAAAGCACATGAGCCATTGCAGTGCATCACGAAAAAAGTCATTTTAGGTGCATGGTAGTGCATTGGTCGCCCCCATTCAAAATAAAAGAGCTGCCTTAATAAAGAACCCATGTTAACCGTGACATATTGAACATTAATGTGCATGCATAAAGCAACGTACAAGGGTGAAGATCCCCTAAACATTATTGGTACCTCTCTCTGGCTTTTATTGTTGTCCGTGGCTCTGTTAGGAAGATTTTGCCCCTCACTTCTTTAAAAAAAAAAAATACTGTATAATGAAAATTCTCACCATTCCACAGTCTCCCGGTCTCCTAGGACCTCTTTGATCTCCTCTCGACATTTCTCTTGGTGTTCGGGGTATTTGGCCATACAATATAATGTCCAAGAGATCCCACTGGCCGTTGTGTCATGTCCTTCAAACATGAATGTGTTCACTTCTGCACGCAGGTCCTCATCAGACAACCCCTGACCTTTCTCATCCTGCATAAAATAAAAACATCTTATATAATAAGAGGATAGATGATTTATATCATACAACAGAATTCCTGTAAGCAATCTAACTGCAAGATACTGCTAGTCACCACCAATCTTTTTTGTTGACATGGTTCTACTCGCACACCTCAGGGAGGTAATAACAAAATCAAATATCTTCATCTTAGCAATGCTTCTCTACATTAGACAGGTGCAGAAAATGAAATAGGTTCCCTTAACTACCTTAGCACAGAGAAGAATGTCCAGAAAATCCAGATGTCGCTTTTGAAGGATCTTTTCCAGCTCTTTGTCCTCCTTGAGGGACTCTTTCCTTTCCTTAATGACTCCATCTAGTAAGAAAAGAACCATGTATAAGGAATCATTGCAAAATACAAAGTTGTCTTGCATTGCTAAACCCTTGATGTTTGAGATTCCCTATAAATGGGATCCTGCAGACATGGAGAAGAGAGAGGTGGAGTAATAAAACAGCTCCCACATTATAAAATTCAATATATCAAAATGCTCCAATTCTTGCACAGAAATATCTATGCCAGTGGTGGTCAATATACTTGACAAAAGGGAACTCAAGTGTGGCCACTGAAATCACCAAATATTCACAAATAATGTTCAGTAGAGATAATGCTAGAGAGGAGTGTTGAGGGTTATAGACATGCTATAGGAAATGGTAAGAAACTGCAGACACACTACAGGAGTGGTTGGTGACTGAGGACACGCTGCGTTAGAGACATTGCTAAAGATAACATTAGTTAGTCTCCTTACAAATCCATGTATCCACGTTTGTGATATCTACATCCCTTTAAAAAATAAAGATGCAACATTTGAAATTCATTTCAGAAACATAAATTATAAAAAAAAAAAAAGCGAACTGACAGCACTGAAAAATAATAAGAAAAAAATCGGATGAACTTCATAATGGTCAATGAAAAACTGACGGCCATATTGTTGGATACCCATACAAAATTTCTGCAGATATGGCGTCCCTGGCTGGATATAGCGCAGCCCTCGAGATTCGACCAGTCCCTTTTATCGATATGAGGATGGATTCTGCTGTGATCCCCCCGGAGCCCCTCCCTCTCCCCCCTTTTTTTTTTTTTTTTTTTTTTTTCTTTGTGTGTGTGTTGTCCATGTCTCTCTACTATTTGTCTTTTTCTACTCTTCTGTTTACTCTGTTCTTAAACATAATTTACGTATTGTACCTGCTGTTCTCTGCGCTGCATCCGTAAGGCTATTTATGCAATCTAGATTTCTTTTTAAATTCTAGGTCATGAATATGTACTGTTTTTTGATGCAGCCTTTTCTTGGGCCTTTCCTGTTTATTATAATGTTGATGTAGCATTACTTCCCTTTGGAGTTTACATTATCATTGACCCACAAAGGTCTGTTATCCGTTCCCTCCCAACCTCCCTCCCCATCCCTTCCCTCAGGGCACCTATGTAAACTTTTCAGATTTTGTCTTTATCGATACATGCCTTACACCAGCTTCCCTTCATTTATTGTAATATGTAAATGTTGGTCATTGAATTTTTGCTACGATTGTCTGTTCATCTTTGCTTATTATTCAATAAAGCTTTTTGTAAAAGAAAAAATAAAAAGAATAAAAAAGTGCAGCGCTAAAATCAATGAATATACTGTACTGATAATAAATGTAATAAAAATGTTAAAACATCATATCATAAGATACCTCTATATGTACATCAATATCAGGTGATAACTTAATGGCAGGTGATAAATCTTGGCGTGACTCTAAAATATATCATATAACAGTCCAGGTATAGTGCAAACAAATATATATATAAAATAAGGTGCCGAAGTGGTTATAAAACTCAAGAAATAAAATATCAGGTGACGGTGAAAGTTCCCAATGGACAATCTCAGATGGAAAACTTCTATATCCGAGTGTGAACCAGTAGTAATCCGGTGATAAGCGACAAATTGTAAGATTGCACAGTCACCGGAAGCGCAATCCTAATGCGCATTGATCAAGTAAATCAACCGGAGGTCTCCTTTAAGGTACAGCCTGGTGCAAGATCACCTCCTCTTTTGATCTGGGTGTTAAAGATGTCAATCAGAGGGCCCCTTTATCAGGATATCTGCAATAGGGTCTGGTCATAGGCTTCCCTCCTCTGGTCCGGATAGATCACCTGGGGTCCTGGGGTGGGTTTAATTGCTCGGTGCAGAGCAAGAAATATAGATGCCCATAGTGTAGTATGTATCAGTATTTATTGGGTAAGCATTAAAATAGAGCATATAATAAACATACATAGGGTATCTGTGAGTATAAATGATGAAGCAGCATCCAAGCTGCTGAATACACTGACCAGCTGGTGATGAAAGATGGCCGCCGGACCTCCGTGATCCGGCGGCAAGACGTCACGGCGTACAAAGGCTCCTCCTTGACGCGTTTCGTATCAAAATACATCTTCAAAAGGGGTGTTGATTGTCTGATTAGCAATTTGTGTTACCAGGCATTTGAACAGATGTACCTAATAAAGTGGCCAGTGAGTGTATTTGGCTTGGGGGGGAGAAAGTGCCCCTGTTGGATTTTTAGACACATATAATACTGCTTCTAGTGTCTTGGGGAAAGAGCCAATAAAAGTGTGATTTTTATTCCCCAATAAAGCGTATTATGCTGTTTTTTCCAACTACTGTAAAAACTGACAAGGCAAAGAAAAAGTCACCATGGTCATGGCTGTTCTGTCTTTGCCATGTGCTCCATGCTGTCCTTCCAATGAGGATGACTAATGGAAGTGATTGTATGCACTGTTGCAGCTTCTCAGACGTAAATCATGTAGCTTGTGTGTATCGAGAGTGTGTGTGAGCGTGAGTGTGTCTTGTCCGTTCCGATGGTCTTTTTAAACGTCATAGTTAGTGATCATATACCTTCTATGGAAAGTATTACTGCTTAGCAAAGCCAATTCAAAAAGGGAAAGATGTCAAACATATGATGTTTGATGGACAATGATGTACAGGCTGATGTAACCCTTAGCTATATATTTAAAAGTGTATAGCTTCATATCAATGTATAATCACTAAACTATATATGTAAAGAGGACGTATACTAAATATACCAGAAAATACGTAATGGTCTAAAACCTTGACATAACTACCAAATACTTTCCAACTATCTCTAAATTACTACAGGCTATACAGCTGTGTGGTCTCAGCTATAAGAAGAACTGTAAATCCTCATTTGGACCTCTTACATGAATATTAATTTATGCGAAATATTTTGCCTTGCCAATCAATATAGTGAGAATCATCATTTAGAATTGCCCCCTATCTCCCTGCTGTGTTTCCCTGGGCAGACAGTAAGGTAAACGTTATCCAATCCAATGTTACTACAGGCTGACCTGTGTGCTGATGTGCTGTCCTCAGGGCTCTCCTGAAGCGAAATCCATGAGGACTCAGATGGAATAGGATATCGCTGTGATAGGGCAGACAGACGAATCTGATGGAAGGCGCTTTACTCTAGGCGCTTTCTCTAGGAGAAAATAAAGTACACACAAATGAAATCTCAAATTTAAAAACCTCACATTTTAATGAGCTGCTCTATTATTTAATTACATTAAATGTATGTCCTTACTAATAAATAAAAGCCTACTGGCCATACATAGTACATACATTGTGAGAGGGTTATCACATTTTGTGCCATTAAAGGTCCCTCCCAAGCTGCGGCCTCTGCTTTTTCGAGACTCTCTGCAGTTTGGGTGGCTCTGTGGGATTCTGATTGGTAGATTGCACATTGCATTTGTACAACAGATCCCTAGTTTGATGATACCACACTTATAGCAGAACTCCAAAACACTTTTATACATGTTGCTGATTTCCTACCTTCACTGAATATGTCCTCCATCCTCTGGTTCACTCAGTAATTGCTCTGATATAGCCTGGTAATTTTCATATAAAATAATTATGTCCCTGTGGTTTCCTGTTTGTAAGACCAGTGGCTGCCGTGCCTCCTACTGCCCCAGCCACTGGTCTTGGCACATCTCTTCTGTAGTTCTTTCTAGCAAGCAGTGATGTACGTCCGCCCCTGGTGGCTGACTGTAGTGGGCAGACTGAGATTCTCAGACTCCCGGTCTGTACCACCCATGGAGGCTGAGTCCTAACAATTACAGCTCAGGACACTCTGGGTCTGTCGTTTAGTTGGTTTAGTGTTTTGTATGGGGGGGTATACTAATGGATGACCTTTTTTTTGCCCATCCAGGAGTTCTTCTTTAACTTGCTCCTGTTCATTTTTTGTTTTTTGTCATAATCAGTCTGAGGAGGACAAAACTATAATGACAAATGCTTGCTGACAGTTGTCTCAAATTTATTAGGACAGTGATTACATAAAAAGACCAAGGGATTTGTATAAAAAAATTGATGAAATGTAGACAGTTCTGGGCCAACTAACCAATTTATTAGAGAATTGCACTTACACTTTAAAACAAATAAACAATGCCATAAACGACATGAATCGTATAGATACCAGACTCTCCGTGAGTCACTTCTGATCCACGCTGTCACAGCAACGCACCCTACGCGTTACGTCACCATCACGTGACTTTATCCATACAATACATTTGGCTTATGATGTTGTTTATATGTTTTAAAATGTAAGTGCAATTCTCTAGTAAATTGACTGGCGTTATAAGAATACTACAGTATGGAAGCCCTTTTCATGTGCTTATTCTGCTGAGAGCTCTAACCAAGATCGCATGAAGGCACCTCAGATACTGGTTTGAGAAGATATGAATTGATAGCTCAAGGGAGACCCCTGTGGACGGAGGCTGCAGTGGTACATTGGAAATTTTGATCTGATATGCTGGTATATGTGGATTGGAGGTGAGAGTTTTGGGAGACTGATGGAAGCACATTGTGTTTTGAAAGCACAGAAAGCATTTATGTGATTCACAGTTTGGTGTTGCATAGAATACATTCACAGATGACAAAAGTATTTATAAGTGAAGATTTTTTTATGAATGGACGTGAAGATTTTTTTATGAATGGACTGCACCTTGAACTTTATTGTTTGATTTTGATTTCTTATGGGATATTTATGATACAAGGCTGAAGAGGGAAGAGAGACTTTTTGTAATTTGTAGATTCTCTATGTAATCTATCATGCTTGTTCTGCAATGTAGTGAATGTGTTCACATTTATCATTTGATTGTTTGGCAGCACTACATGTTTTCGATATACAGTATATAAGACAGTTTAACACTTTTCATACATAACACTCTAGCCTTTGGGGTCTATGCATAAAACATTTCTTGGATGGATGTCTGAAGCATTCGCATAAACTAGCTGAAATATCTCCACATTTTTTTGTAATAGAACAACTCCAATATCTTCAGCTACATTTAGTGGCCAAAATGCATTATATTTTCTCATTGAGTTATTTTGGAATTAAATACTGGAAGAGAAGAGGAGTTCTTAGAGTGCATCTGCCTTGGAGACCAATGGAGGGAGACAGTGGGAATAGGCACTAGAGCAGCACTTCCAGGAGTAGAAGCAGACTCTGGATAGGACAGAAGAGAACAAGAAGGCACTTCTAAGTGCAGTACATCCACATATTTACACAAATAAATATGTGAATGTACTGCACTTAGAAGCTTCTTCTTGTTCTCTTCTGTCGGAATGATATACTGTATTTTGGCCACTAGGTGGAGCTGATGATACAGGAGCTAATCAACCCTGGGGTGCCCAGAGGTTTCTTCAGGGGTGCCTTGGCAAAATGTCTAAAAATTGCCCAAAACTTGTATACAAGCCAGTGGGTGGAAAAATCCTGCCTTTTAGTTACACAAAGCCACAGGTTTTCATTGTGCACCATTACAACCTTTTAGCTGCCGGCATCCTGACAACCAATGACATCATCAGTTGATAAGGAGGATGTCAGCTGGCTGCACAGCATCCTAATTTGACCCTCCCCTGCCCCTCTCCATCAGTGCTGGGGTCACATCAGCTCAGTGATGAAGAAAAATCTGAGGGAGAGTAGAAACATTGGAATACTAGACAGTACCAGGGTGCAAAAGTGTATTTTATTTGGAAGAATAAATCACCTCTAATGTTGGGTGTCCTACATGTGTGGATGTTGCTGTGTTTATATATAAAACTATTAGAATAGTTTTTCACATTTTAGAATGGGGTGCCTCAAGACTGTCCATAATTTTAAAGGATGCCTCGGGACTGTCCATAATTTTAAATAGTGGTGCACCGAAATGAAAATTCTGGTGCCAGAACCAAAAATTCAAAATGCACTTGGCCGAAAACCGAAACCAAAATGCGCAGTTTTTTAAAAATGAATATATATTTTTTGGGAAAAAAATACACTTTGATTAAACAAAACAATATATACCCCAATTTTTTTTGTAAAATATGAAAAAGAATGTTACGGTGAGTAAACAGATACCCAACATGTCACTCTTTAAAATTGTGCACGCTCATGGAATGGCGTGAAACTGTGGTACTTAAAAATCTCCATGGGTGATGATTTAAAAATTTCTACAGGTTAGCAGTGTAAAGTTACAGAGGAGGCCTAGCGCGAGAATTATTGCTGTTGCTCTGACGTTCGTGTCGATACGTCACATGTGTGGTTTGAACACCATTTACATATGTGGGCATGGCCTACGTATGCGTTCACCATGCGAGCAAGGGGGGATGGGGGCACTTTAAACTTTTTTTTAAAAATGTATTCAATGTTTTTTTTTTTTGCACTGTTCCTTTAAAAAAAAATGTAATCACTTTTCTTCTTATCTAAGAAATGCATGCATCCCTTGTTATAGAAATAATTAGTGACAGGTCCTCTTTATGGAGAGCTGTGGGGTCAATAAGACCCCACATCTCTCCTCTACAATGTAAAGCATTGGATCAAAAAAAAGCATTGATCTAGGGCTTTAGAAAAAAAAATTGGCTGGAACGGGAAGTGATATCGCTCTGGTCCTGCAAGGGCATAGAGATGTGTGGAGGCCATCTTTCCTTCACTCATCTCTATGCCCAACGATGGGATCAATGGTTTCTCAGGCAAGGCTGAACTACCAAGGGGTGGCAGCGGCCGGCGGCGACGGTGGGCGGAGGTGAGGGGCGGGGTATTTTCGGCACCTGTATCGGTGCTTTTTTTCATTTTGGCCAATGGCCGAAATGTTTTGACCACCAAAATTTCGGTGCATCCCTAATTTTAAAGGGTGCCTTGACTGAAAAAAGGTTGAGAAACACTGATATACAGTATGTATTTGATTTTTCCCATAGTTCTTTTAGAATGTGCATTACTAGGTTAGATATGTTAAATAATGGAAACTAGTGATGGAATCCCCGAATACTGACCTGTCATTCTGGCAGTTGCTCTGGTAACTGAAGGCACATTTCATGATGGTGTCCAGCGTCATGAGGCTGACATGATGGAACAGCTCCACTGGCTTCTTATCTGGGATGATGTGTTCCCATTTATCCTGAAATAACAAAAGGCTATGAAAAGAACATACAATTCATAAGAACACAATTATATAAGAAATGATTTCAGCAGTAAGTCATTCAGTAGAAGTTATGACCCTTATATATTTATTTATTTCAGGTACTTATATAGCGCCGTCAATTTACGCAGCGCTTTACATATATATATTGTACATTCACATCAGTCCCTAACCCTCAAGGGGTGTACAATCTAAGGTCCCTAACTCACATTCATACATACACATACTAGGGCCAATTTAGATAGGATCCAATTAACCTACCAGCATGTCTTTGGAGTGTGGGAGGAAACCGGAGTACCCGGAGGAAACCCACGCAGGCACAAGGAGAACATGCAAACTCCAGGCAGGTGGTGTCATGGCTGGGGTTCAAACCAACGACCCTAGTACTGCCAAATGGAAGTGCTAACCATTTAGCTACTGTGCTGCCCAAAAATGTTTGAACGGAAAGTGCTTTGCTCAGATCCCAGCAGTCTTACCCTAGGTTCATACCTAAGGGTTTTCCGCAGCATTTTGCAGAAACGCACTACAGTCCATTTAACATGATTTCCTATCGGACACGTTCACATCTCTGCGTTTTCACTCGGTGCGTTTTCTGGAAAGGGTCAGAGACTTTTTTGAATGCAAAAAGTAGCATTTTTGATACTTCAATGGAAACGGTACTTTAGACTTCAATAGAAACAGTGCAGAAAAGCATGTAGTGTGTTTTTGCTGCATTTTGAATTTTAATCTGACAAGCAAGAAGAAAAGAAAAACAAAATGCATCAAAAATTAGGCAAAAACACGTAAAAAATGCATGTGCAAAAAATGCAAAACACACAGCAAAAAGCACTGCAGAAACAAATCAAACGTAAACTGCATAGGTGTGAACTGAGCCTTAAAGCGGAACTCCACCCTAAAGGGGAAGTTCCGCTTTAAGGACTGCTCCCCCGCTCCCCATTAAGGATTGGCACCTTTGGGGGATGGGGGGGGGGAACGGGTACCCGAATTTGACAGGTGCCCGCTCCCAATTCCGGTCCAATCACCTAGGCAATCGGAAGCGGAAGGTGTCCTTCCTCCCTCCCTGTAGTCTTTTGGGACACGTGACAGGTCCCAGAAGACTACAGGACCATTCATGAAGCGCAGCGCTACTCGCACATGTGCAGTGGGTACCCGGCTATGAAGCCGCAAGCAGTCATAGCCGGGTGCCCACACTGAAGATGCCGGTCTCCTAGAATATAGGACGGCTGGTGAAACGGGCTGCGGGGGACACACTGTGGGACCGAGGGACAGGTAAGTGGCTGTTTTTTTGAAAGTCTTTTATTTTTTGACAGGTGAGTGGAACTCCGCTTTAAGCAGGGTAGACACATACAGAATTCTAATGACCGTTCATAGACTTGGCAAAAAATAGTTAGAAAATGAAAGGCGTAATCTGATTGTTTTGGGTGATGCAGACACTGTGAGGCTGATTTACTAATGGAGCTCAGAATCTTCACACAATACATGGTACCCAATCATGGGAAAACAAATAACTGTTTACTAGGGATGCACCCATACCCTTCTTTGATTGCCAAGTACGAGTACCGATACTTTCGGGCAGGTATTCACCGATATCGAGCACTGATACCTTGTGGTGCGATTTCCATCCATACAAAATGTATAGACGCAAATTACACCGCAAAGAATAGCATGCGATTTGAACAGGAATGTGAGTCCTGTCCAAAACGCATGCGGTTTCCTCACTGCTCATGTGTAAAACCCAGACTTGTCATAGCCTGAGTTTACATGAGCGGTGCAGGAAACCTCCCTACACCAATCCCATACTGCTCCAGATTCTCAGCTGGAGGACAGGAGAGAAAGATGCGAGGATTTGAAATCTCTCCTCTCCTTGCAGGGATGACAGTAAAGTCTAAACGTCTTTTGATTGGTCAGCACCATTTGAGTTTACAAAGTGTGCATGAAGCTTTATTGTGTGAAGAGTCTTAACTCCATAAAGCTGAACTCCAGGTTTGGTTTTCTGGGCATAGATTGATAAAATTTCCAAAGAACATTCTTAGGAAATGTCTTAGGAAAACTTGAAAGAACATTCATTTGTCGTTTGAAAGATTTTGTTTGCCTTTAACCAGTTCCCACCAGGTTTATTGTAAAATTTAATTCTCCTGGAACGCACTGTGGTCGCAATCTGTCACCAGCTGTGTCCACCAGACACAGCCAAAGACGGATAACTGTACCGGTCCGCTGCCAGTACCATGTGATCACTGTGACCAATCACAACAGATCACATAACAATTGCAAACAATGAATGGCTTCGATTCATGCCATTCTTTGTGTACAACTGTGTTGCTAGCTATGATTGGTCACAGTGATCACATGGTACAGACAGGGCCAATCACAGCCCATCTGTACCATGTGATTAGATGTGGCCAATCACATCTAATCACAACATAACACATTGAATGAATCTGTTTCATTCACTAAAAGTGCTTTCTTACAGCAGTAAAATTCATTGGTATAAGCAATCATGTGTAAAAAAAAAAAAAATCCTGATCACTTTCACAGAGTAGTACAATGTTCATGTTCTGACTGAAAAAGCCCTTGTTACTTTCTATAAGTGTACAAATTCAATACCTGTCCCATTCCTATATAAGCAGAGAATCACTGTAGTAGTCTCCACTACTACAGAGATCCCGGCTATTCTACAGGCCATATGCCAAGCGGCTGCCCTGCGATATAGTAACCAAATAGAGCTGCCATCTTGGCACAGGTGACATTCAGAGAACGCCTTCTACTTTTCTCAATAAAGACATGACAATCTCTTTGATGAGGTGAAGACTGTGACACTATCACCCCGCCTCTCCACTTCATCCAATTAGAGAACGCTTCGAATTCATTGAGAATAATAGAAGGCGTTCTCTAAAAGGAGGTAAAAAGGTGTGTTTACTGCTTGATAATACAACACACAGCAATGCAGGGCACTGCCATTGGAAGTGCACTCTGGGGGTCCTTTCATTCAGAATGGCACCCCAACGCACAGTACAATAGATTCTGACTGACCCGCATTAATGTCACAAAGCACACATGTTCCTGCAGGGCTCGACAAATTTGCTTTGATTCTCGGAGCCATCTAAAAAAAGTTAGGAGCCAGGTTTTTTCTTTGGCATAGCATAGGTTGTCAGCGCTCGAGGCAAGACTTCTGTGCGATAGGCTTCATGTGATTCGATTTGCTGTGTGATAATCTCAGCAAAACTGCACCACCTTTTAGGTGGCACCTGAACCTGCGGTTTGCGATCACAGTGATTCTGTCGCAATCCCAAAATGCTCAAGTGTGAATGGAGCCACCCTGGTCCCCAATATGCGATACTGCATGCGTTTTAAAACTCACAGATTTGCATGAAAGGCTAGATATTCTGTGTTGCTATTGAGGTGGTTCACACAGATGTGATACACACGTATTGTTTTTTGAGTGGAATTACAAAAAAAAGGGTCAAGTGCAAGTTTGTAGCGGTGCACTCCAGACTTGCAAGTGATAAAGTAGAGTGGCATGGGGAGATAAGTGTTCTCATAGGATTGTTATTGACAGGAGTTTTTGCACCGAAGTCAATGGGAGGCGTTTTTGCACTGAGGTCAATGGGAGGCAGTTTTGCATTGAAGTCAATGGGAGGTGGTTTTGCATTGAAGTCAATGAGAGGCGATTTTGCATTGAAGTCAATAGGAGGCGATTTTGCATTGAAGTCAATGGGAGGTGGTTAAGCATTGAAGTCAATGGGAGGATGTTTTTGCATTGAAGTCAATAGCGATTTTGTCAATGGGATTTTGCATTGAAGTCAATGGGAGGTGTTTTTGCATTGAAGTCAATGGCCGTAGGCAATGGGAGGTTTTTTGCATTGAAGTCATTGAAGGCGTCAATAGGGAGGCGATTTTGCATTGAAGTCAATAGGAGGTGGTTAAGCATTGAAGTCAATGGGAAGTGTTTTTGCATTGAAGTCAATGGGCCGTAGTTTTGCATTGAAGTCAATGGGAGGCGTTTTTGCATTTAACACAATGGGACGCGATTTTGCATTAAAGTCAATGGGAGGCAATTTGGCTTTGAAGTCAATGGGAGGTGGTTAAGCACTGAAGTAAATGGGAAGTGTTTTTGCATTGAAGTCAATGGGCTGTAGTTTTGCATTGAAGTCAATGGGAGGCGTTTTTGCGTTGAACACAATGGGACGCGATTTTGCATTGAAGTCAATGGGAGGCGATTTGACTTTGAAGTCAATGGCAGGTAGTTAAGCATTGAAGTCAATTCGACGCGATTTTGCATGGAAGTCAATGGGAGGCAGTGCGTGAACCCAGGCGCCAGGATGCAATTTCTAGTTGACATGCCGACCTGGCTCCTGGGATTTCAAGTCCTACGTTACTGTGTGTTATGGTGCACTATATGAAAGAATAAGGTGCAGGTCTTGCTTTCATCATGTTACCATGTGTTGGCGGCCCAATCTAAATGAATACACTTCCTTACTGCAACCCATCTTTCGTTAGTTTTAGCAAATCTTAATATTAACAGATGACTGAAATGAAGGAATTATCTGTGATTATTGTTCATCGTTATGTGTATAGTTGATATTAGACACACTGACTGCCGCATACTGTTTATTGCAAGATGTGTAATTACCAGCATGACATTCACACAGTCCGACATGAGTCTGACATACGGCTTCAATACATCATAATGGAAGGCAGGGGTCAGCAGCCGGCGGTGCTGGAACCACTTCTGGCCGGATAACACCAGCAGCCCTTTACCTGAGGGATGAAAAAGATTATGACAGATTTTGAAAGAAAACATAATTTTTTAATGACATTTATGGTGTTGTTTGTGCTTTCTCTTTACTGTTCCCTTGAGCACTTGAGCAATATTCAGTTCATGTCTATGTTATATTTGATGCATCATTAATGTGAACATAATTTGCAAAGGCCATCCCCCACTGAGTTCAGCCATTCTCGGACTTGCATGTAGGCCTAGGCTGATCTCCTTATCAAAACCTCACATTTTGGCACTGGTATCCTGGAATACAGAGTTAGCTATTGACGTCTTGATGCAAGAGTCAGGCTTAGTGTTAGACTTGCAGGAAGGTTAATGTGAGCAGTACTGTTAAACCTATAGAGGGATGGTGTGAGCCTTAGGGTTAGACTTAGTGTTAGGGTTATAGGGAATGATAATGGTTATAGGGAAGGATTAGTGTTAGGGTTATAGGGAAGGATTAGTGTTAGGGTTATAGGGAAGGATTAGTGTTAGAGTTATAGGGAAGGATTAGTGTTAGGGTTATAGGGAAGGATTAGTGTTAGAGTTATAGGATGATTAGTGTTAGGGTTATAGGGAAGGATTAGTGTTAGGGTTATAGGGAAGGTTAGTGTTAGGGTTATAGGGAAGGATTAGTGTTAGGTTTATAGGGAAGGTTGGTGTTAGGGTTATAGGGAATGATTAGTGTTAGGGTTATAGGGAAGGTTAGTGTTAGGGTTATAGGGAAGGATTGGTGTTAGTGTTATAGGGAAGGATTAGGGTTATAGGGAAGGATTAGGGTTATAGGGAAGGATTAGTGTTAGGGTTATAGGGAAGGTTAGTGTTAGGGTTATAGGGAAGGATTAGTGTTAGGGTTATAGGGAATGATTAGTGTTAGGGTTATAGGGAAGGATTAGTGTTAGAGTTATAGGGAATGATTAGTGTTAGGGTTATAGGGAAGGATTAGTGTTAGGGTTATAGGGAAGGTTAGTGTTAGGGTTATAGGGAAGGATTAGTGTTAGGTTTATAGGGAAGGTTGGTGTTAGGGTTATAGGGAATGATTAGTGTTAGGGTTATAGGGAAGGTTAGTGTTAGGGTTATAGGGAAGGATTAGTGTTAGGGTTATAGGGAAGGTTAGTGTTAGCGTTATAGGGAAGGATTAGTGTTAGGGTTATAGGGAAGGATTAGTGTTAGGGTTATAGGGAAGGATTAGTGTTAGGGTTATAGGGAAGGTTAGTGTTAGGGTTATAGGGAAGGTTAGTGTTAGGGTTATAGGGAATGATTAGTGTTAGGGTTATAGGGAAGGATTAGTGTTAGGGTTATAGGGAAGGGTTAGTGTTAGGGTTGTAGGGAAGGATTAGGGTTATAGGGAAGGATTAGGGTTATAGGGAAGGATTAGTGTTAGGGTTATAGGGAAGGATTAGTGTTAGGGTTATAGGGAAGGATTAGGGTTATAGGGAAGGCTTAGGGTTATAGGGAAGGATTAGTGTTAGGGTTATAGGGAAGGGTTAGTGTTAGGGTTATAGGGAAGGGTTAGTGTTAGGATTATAGGGAAGGATTAGTGTTAGGGTTATAGGTATGGATTAGTGTTAGGGTTATAGGGAAGGATTAGTGTTAGGGTTATAGGGAAGGATTAGTGTTAGGCTTACATGAAGGGTTACTATTAGCATTACTGTTGAGGTTACAAGGTGAGTTTAGCTGGCCATAGATGATTTGAATCTTAGCTGGTTCAGCAGGGACTGTCTGAGATTTAAACCATGTATGAGCAGGCTGATTGTACCAAAGTTGATTGATCAATCAACTTAGGTACAACCAGATCTTTCATGCAATTATTGCCAGTGGCTATAGCCGATAGCAATAACCACTATGTGTTCTCCTGGCTGGGATGGCTCCCAACCCGCCAGGAGAACACAATAGCTCCGCGGGAGGGATTCCTCCATCAACATTGACTGTGTTGATAGGGGGAACCAAGGGATTTTCTTTGCCGCAACCATGGTTTCAGGAAAGAAAATCTGTCCATCTATGGCTGGCTTTAGTGTTAGGTTTGGTTGCAGGGAGGATTAAGGCTATCGATAAGGTTACAGGTAGTATTAATGGTATTGGTATAGGGAGGATTAGTGTTAGGGCTGCAAAGTGGATTAGTGTTAGGGTACTGGACGGGTTACTGTTATTGTTACAGGGAGGGTTAGTGTGAGTTTTAGGGTTAGCCTTACTGGGGGGTTAGTGGAAGCAATCGTGACAAGATTATAGACAAAGTGTTAATGTTTCAGGAAGGGTTAATATTAGATTTTCAGGAAAGGTTGGTGTTAGGGTTACTGTTATGATTATAGGAAGGATTAGTGTTAGGGTAACAGAAAAGTCTAATGTTATTGGTACACGCAGGGTTAGTGTGAGGGGGCCTTAGGGTAGTGCAATGCTCTCAGTACAAATGGCTCTGCACTGAAATTTACCACCTAACGTATCTCCTATACCCATTTAAACATAACTGAATGATATCTCATCTTCAGCTGATTTGTATGTGCTCTCGTGTGAATGATTTTATTTTAATTCAAGACATTTTTTACATCCCCTGGAAATTATAGTTGAAATGTTAATTGCAAGTAAAATGACTTGAATTATAAATGTGTCCTGGTGCAGGGGCCTATAAGACTCTGTCCTAAAGACAATTCATAGTAGGACTTCTTGGTTCAATGACCTCCAGATCTCAAAACTTCTGTAGGATTTTGGACTTAGGCCTGGTTCACACCTTTGTATTCTGCAATCTGCTACGGGAAAAATAAGTCCCTGACTCTTTTTCAAAAAACACAGCAGTTGAAAACACATAGATGTGAACTTGTCACATAGGAAACCATGTTAAATGGACTGTAGTGAGTTTTTGCACTAAAAAACCCTAACACTAATCCTTCCCTATAACCAGGGCTTACACTTCATTGCTGATTTTTTGGGTTTAAAGACTTACATCTGAAGGGAAGGGGAGAAACTACAGAACTAGGCCGGGCAGGATGTAGGGCAGGATCAGGGGCGGACTGACCATTTGGGAACTCGGGCATTACCCGAGGTCCCGGGGTCAGTAGGGGGCCCCATGAGATGCACCTGGTACCTTTTTAATAGGCTTTTTTTGAGTGTGGGCAAGGACATAGGGGCCCCATGATCCCCTATTGCCTGAGGGCCCCATGAGTTGTCAGTCCACCCCTGGGCAAGATGTAGGGCAGCAAGAGGGAATTATGCATGTTCAAGGCATATGGTCCACCCCAACATCCCTATCTATAATGCACAGTACATAAATCACATTTTTATTTTGGTATGTAGATCTGTTCTGTGTATATTCAAATTATGTTACTTGCCAATCCATGGAGTAATGAAGTAATAGCCAAAATTATCCTTTGGATCTGTCAGGAAAAAGATACTACTATCAGAAGGCAGCATTGCAGTGAATATAAAGTAAATCATTGAGTGTAGTGAATGGAAGCTCTTACCCTGTCTGGACAGAATGGCCTTTGCATAATCGGGATGACAGATAATCAAAGATGCAAAGAAATTCCCCAGCCATAGTGGGTAGGCGTAAGGGTACTGTTCCGCGTAACGCATGATGATGTCCATGTCTTTTCCATCACCGTGGAACTAAGGGTAATAAAAATACACAACAGACCATAAATTCCGAGAACTGCATTTACATAATGTAGCGCCGCTCTAGATAGCGTTTAATTTCTAGTCAGGAGGGCTGAGTCAAATTTTGGTCAGAGCTGCAAGGTTCTGCTGGTCAGTTCCATGACACCTTCTCCTGCTCTAGAATCTTGGAGAAGATTCTAGAAGCAGTGGGCGCGGGTGAAGAGGGGCTGGCCTGCACACTTGGAGGACCTGGACAGCCTTTAAATGTGGTGGAGCCTACTCAGCAGCAAGAGAGTTTCGGTGGAAGATGGAGAGAGAAGGCTGAGGAGCAGGAACCTGGGAGGGTGCCCAGTTGGAAGGGGCTCACCCACAGGCAATGTAGCTGTAAAAAAGGAAATCACAGGACCTCATTGGCCTCCAGGGTGAGGACAACCTGTGCACCAGGGAAGGAGCGACCCAGCAGAAGGCCTGAGAACAGCGACTGACCCATCAGCTCACAGACAAAGGACTGAGTGAGTAGACCTACACCTCCTGGGCCAGTAAGAGGAAAGAGCACTCTGGTGGGAAGCTGGATTAGCTCCTTACCTGGGACTGTTTCACATTCAAGATGACAGCTTTAGACAGCTGGATAGAGGAGAATCTGGGGTTTGGGGTGGTATATTAGGAGAGGCTGGCTAGCTCTCCAAGAAGAGAATTAGCACAATGGCTAAATGGTTAGCACTTCCACCTGGCATTACTAGGGGTGTTGGTTCATAATCCCAACCATGGCACCACCTGCCTGGAGTTTGCATGTTCCCTGTTTCATCCAGGTACTCTGGTTTCCTCCCACATGCCAAAAACATGCTGGTAGGTTAATTGGATCCTGTCTAAATTGCCCCTAGTATGTGTATGTATGAATGTGAGTTAGAGACCTTAGACTCTACACCCCTTGAGGGTTAGGGACTGATGTGAATGTACAATATGTATGTAAAGCACTGCGTAAATTGACGGTGCTATATAAGTACCTGTAATAAATTCAGCTGTTTAGAGATACTTGTTCATAGTTCCAGGAAAATTGTCCTCAGTTGCCGTTTCCTTGGGCATCCCATACACCCCTTACCCCATCTAAGTTCAACACCCCTAAAAAAACACAAGCTCTGGTTACTGACTCCTGGATCCAAGTCTGTGTAGAAAATGCGTGTTGCCTGGCTGTGCTGGACTATGGGGGGACCCAAATATCTAGCAACCCCTAAGGGGGTAGTGCTACAATAAGAAACCTGATGATCCATAACTGATTAATGTTGCTGCAGATGAAATATATGATTTAAATGCCCTATGCCAGTCAGTGAAGGTTGAGAAATCTGTAACTTCCCACTTTGTTCAGGTTTGGGTGTTGGGGGGCAGGTGATGTGCTTAGGGGGTTATAGGAGAGAAAGGGCTCAAAGTGAACTACATCACTATGGATAGCTAGTTGTCCA